TTGTAATGTGAATATCTGCAATTATGTGTCTCGAACATTTTACGTGCCCTGGGTGTCGGCAATATGTAGACATGTGCATTTCAGTGATGTAGGTATATAGTACACAATGTACTGTAGACAAGAGCGCGGAATACGACAGAAATATGCATACGCAACGAAATATCGTTAGCAAGCCTGACTCCAAACAGAGCTGCAGCCAGCTGGAACTACTGTCAGTTTATAAAAATATTTAGAAACGGAGATTCTTATCAAGGAACCATGCATAAAGAACCCCAGGATAGACGGGTCTACTTGCTTGCGCACACCCTTGATACTGGATCATTATAGGATAACGTATAACGTCCTGAGAGTGATAGAAAATATATAGCTGCATGCACAATTGGCTATATATGTATGCATGCATTAGGAGGTATCCAAGTCACTGTGACAGTGTAGTATGCCATCAAAACCACACAATACGGCGTTACCTTTGTTCATCAGCTGCTCTTTCTTTTCCCTCTTCTCCTGATGGGCTTCGACCTCCTTCACGGACATGTGTAAGTATTTGGTTCGGTCGTAATCTTGCCCACGAGTTTCCGCATCCTGTGACAAAAGCAAGAAAATCAAGAATGTGAGGACGTACGCGACTTCAATGGACTGTTCAACTATGCGGACGACAGAGATAGTGACAAATAAAAAATATTACATACATGCTAAAAGAATGAAAATACGTCCCTTGATCAAGTGCATTTTCGACGGAACCAGTTGTATTATCGTAATATATATCAGATGTTAGGGTTAAAAGTACAAAATTATAAATAAATAGGAGAACGTAATACAACAGAATAATACCAGATATATAGGTATACAGGCGTAGTCTCATCTTTCGTATACCAACTATATATACTAAACAAGGGAAAAGACACAATCCGCTGCAAGATTTAAACCAGTTCACCCGTACACGTGCGCAAAGCATCAGCACAATACTACTACATGTTGTATAAAACGAGTGTGAAAATTTCTCAGGCAGTCATAGTCGTATATGATAACGCGTAATACATCTGATATCAAACAAAAGCACACAGATACAATATATACACACATTAGTTTACAAACATACACCCATACACAGACACATAGACAGACGTATATATAAATATATATACAACGATGTGTGTACATAATTTTTTTTCTTACAAATACAAACACATACACACACATATATTCACACACACACACAAACACACACACACACATATACATATATATTTAAACATATGTAACATAATATACATATGTATACATACATACATATATATACACACACATACACACACACACATATATATATATAATACACACACACACACACACACACACTCATATATATATAAATATATATAAAACACATACACACACATA